TCAATAGTGCCGATCTTGATGCACTGGTAGAGCTCTGGACCGAATAGGCAGCATGGATTCGCGGAATATACGCGAATATTGACGCCATTCGTCTCTGGCCTGACCGGACTATCGATTGTCTCTATGAACCAAGGTTGAATTTTTCAAGAGAGTCCAACTTGGCCAATATAGGTCTCGATCATTGCGACACTGTTTGATTCCCGGCTAACGGCACGCAGCGTCGACTATCGGTTCCGCAGATTGATGCGTAGGGTCGTTCCCGGATCTTCTCATGAGCAAATTAGTTCAAAAACGTTAGCAAATACTAGAGTAGTCGTCAGCCCGCCAGGATCGGGCATTTCAAAAGAGGTAACGATCCATCGATTAATATACTGAAAAAAACAAACAATACGAGAAAATGTATGTGCGAGGGGTTACACCATGGCCGGCAGAGGACCGTCCTTGTGGCCAATCAACGATGCAGCCCGACAATTCCGCCTAATATCAACGACCCGATGGCTACGACGCACGACCAGCCATTTTTGTTTCTTCCGACGCGTTCTGCTATATTACCATGTCGAAGCTTACGATATTTACTTATATCCGGAATTAGTTCCGGTAGGTGAGCATGCTGGCTAAGTGAAATCTTTGCCTACTCTGTTCGTCAGGATTTCATGAAATGTTGGCATTAGAGTTCTCTTCTGCATAGCATGGATCTTGTTTGGTGATGACTCTCTACAACAAGTTTTACGGTATTGTTGCCCATACCTCAATTGCGCAGTTTCTTCCTTCGTACTACGCAATCTGTATGTTCGCCAGCATGATTGCCCCTGATCGATACATAGAATTTACTGTCTCATCGAAGGTCTTCGATTGTCCTGACTATCTCATTCCCCCTTTTTGCCACGTGCGAACACATCAGCTGACAAGGGAGAGGTCCCATAGGCAGGTCAAATCTGGGGAGACACTATATCATGCAAAGCAGCCTCGTATGCACGTGTAGAGCCGGGGGGTTGTATCCGGCTATATCTTAGCTTGCCAATTCCGGTGACCCAGGGCTCTCTGTGGCGGGCACTTTTCTTTTCGGAAACGTTGCAAGAGGAAAAACGTCATGGCTGTCATGGTTGTCTTCCCCAGAAAGCTATATCAAGGGTTCAGGGTCCCAATGCCAAGACTTGACTTTTCCATGTTTCGAAGCACCATTTAAAGCATTGCTCCCGTCGTGATTCAGACTCCCCATGTCACTGATATCGATATTATACTAATTTACCATAATGCGTTGGATAGCAGTGGTTCTCCTAGTAGGGCTTGCCAGCCTGTCGGCAGCCCATGATGAGGGCCCCGTTCCAAAGTTCGTCGGTGGACGAAAGCTACTGTCGGGCATGAAGAGCAGAAGAGAATTGGAGAGAAGGGTATCAGGGATCCGCATGCCTCATAAGTCTGAGGACTTAGCCGTGCGTGCGGATGAGGACAACAATTCGCCGATCGATGCTCGTGACAATACGAGTGGAAAATGTGGTCCGAACCGTGGAAGCTGTGCCGCTGGGTACTGTTGCTCGGTTGAAGGGTGAGATCTTTACTCTATTAGCCTTCTGTACCCGATGGTCAATGCAGACATGCTAATAGATTGAGAGCAGGTGGTGCGGTCTAGGCATTGACTACTGCGAGGCCCCAGATTGTCAGCTTAGCTATGGTCCTGGGTGTGACGGCAACTCGAAACCAACCGGAGTCGATACGTCGACTATAGCAAGGCCCAAGGTGGGCAGCGTCGAATACGGTGGTGTTGGTATCTATGATTGTGTCAATGCCGGCGACATTGCCATGACCTTTGATGATGGTCCCTGGAACTACACCAGTGATCTTTTGGATAAGCTCAAGGTACGCCTGACCCATCTTGTGCGCATTGTATAAACGCTCATGGAATCTGTCAGAAATACAATGCCAAAGCGACATTCTTCATTGCTGGCAACAACATTGGCAAGGGCCACATCAACGATCCTAGTCTTCCTTGGCGGGCTATCATTCAGGTAAGAATGTCAAACATAGTAAACTGCAATTCGAACAGGATGCTAAAATCGCTGCAGCGAATGGCGGCGGAGGGTCATCAGGTTGCCAGCCACACTTGGTCACACCAAAACTTCAGTGATGTGACTGCAACTCAAGCTCGAAACCAAGTGCTGTGGAATGAAATCGCATTGAACGATATCTTGGGCTATATACCAACTTATTTGAGGTCAGTCAGTCTCGCTTCAAACGAAGGGGGCCAATATCTCCAAGTCATAGTCTCTTACTCATTTCACTACTAGACCACCATTTTCCATTTGCGAGAGTGATTGCGAGGATTTATTGGCAGAGCTTGGATACCACATCATCTACTTTGACCTAGACACGGAAGGCTACCTCTACGACGACCCGGCTGACATCCAGATCTGCAAGGACATTTGGAACGAGGCCGTGGACAACTCGGACGCCTGCGACGACAACTTTTTGCATATTGAACATGACATTCACTGGCAGTCAGTGTACAACCTGACCGATTACTTCCTCGCCTCGCTGTTCGAGAACAACTACCGCGCCGTGACCGTGGGTGAGTGCCTCGGCGACCCTCCGGAGAACTGGTACCGCGCTGGCAGCTCCTCAGTTCCCGCCTATGACTTTCCCAGCCCGACGGCAAGTAGCCCCAGCCAGTGCGAGGAGTCATCGACCTCGAAGCGCGGCACCGGTACCGATCCGTCTCCGACTGGCGGTCTGGTCGTCAGCGAGGAGGGAGACTGTGGCAACGGTATCACCTGCCTGGGTTCCGCGTTTGGAAACTGCTGTTCTCAATATGGATTCTGTGGTAACAACACAGACTACTGTGGCCAAGGATGCCAACCCGCTTTTGGCTCGGGTTGCCTGAGTGCCTCTACTTCGACGACCACTAGTACCGGAGTAAGTACAACATCCTCGCCCACGACAACCACAACACATGTTTCTACTCCTCCTCCTTCCACGACATCCTTGCCCGGTACCACCACCACCACCACCCGTAGCACTAGCACCTCGTCAACTAGCAGCGCTGCCACTCCTACCGGGACTAATGAGGTTCTGGTCCCTAGTAAGAATGGATCGTGTGGCAAAGGAACCGGCTATACTTGTACAGGTAGCGACTTTGGTCTCTGCTGTACTTCGGGTAATCGGTGTGCCTTGCTGTGTCTATTGACTGGTTGCCAGCCCGACTACGGGACGTGTGCTGTTCTCATTGGACCTGGAGGCGAGTGATCGGGCTACGTGTGCGAGATGCGAGAGCGGATTCGCATGTGTGGTCTTCAAACCAAGAACGAGCGAGAAGATTGATCTTGTATCGATGGGTATGATTAAAAGGATTGTTGTGTCTGGTCAAAATAATCAAAATTGGAAAATATGACAGAATCAAGTTGCCAAAGCCTGTAGCATAGGCCATGAATTGTGATCTAGTGTAACTATAATAGCGGTCTAGTACTCTTCTGTCTCTGGGTCTACTTGTGCCCGCATGTCTCTCTCCATATCTTCGTCTTTTACGTTCTCGAGATCTCGAAACTTTTGCTCAAACCAGAGGCAAGCAGATAGATTGTACGTAATATAGGCACCTTGACACCCTTGTCCCTCGCCATCTTGACCACATTGCCCACAATCGCCTCCACCTCGAGACTCTTTGACGAAAAGGTGTCCGCCAGCATCGAGGGCTGCACGCCGGGGAGGCTCCGCACCACGGCCCGGCCAATCTGAAAGTCCACCAGCTCCTCATTGATGCCCGCGTACCCGTACGCCTGCGCCACGGAAGCGACTTCCATCATGACGTCCTTGATAAAGGCCTCGGCATCCTCGTTCACGTCGAGAAACTGCCGGTCGCGCAGCCTCGCCAGCGCGCAGATGGGGTTCCACGACGTGTTGACCAGCAGCTTGGACCACCGCTGCTCCTGGACATCGTCGTGCAGCTCCGCGTGGGCGCCGGCCGCGCCGAGGAGGTCTACAAACGCCTTGGCCGCGTCCTTGGCCGGCGCGTCAGCGGTCGCCGGGTACGTCCCGACGTGCAGCAGCTCCACCTCCTTGTGCTCGACCACGCCGGGGCTGACCTGCGTCGCGGGGAGGTAGACGACGGTGCTGATGATGGGGTTCTCGGGGAACCTCTCGGCGTAGTCCTCCTCGATGCCGATGCCGTTTTGAATCAAAACGATCGAGGCGCCCTGACTCACCGCCGGGCTGATGAGCTCGGCCGTTGACGGGTTGGTCGAGAGGGCCTTTGTGCATACGAGAATATAGTCGAATGGCTCGGGGCTTGACTCCACCGCGTCGGCGGCAGATTTGGCCACGGCTGGTTTCACCTTGAGGCCGTTGCCCCATGAAGTTGAGTTGATGGTGAATCCATCATTCAATACTGCCTCGTAGTTGGAACGACAAATTGCCGTGATGTTGGAGGCCGGGACGGCTCGAGACAACAGATAGGTATAGACGGCGCCAATGCTGCCCGTGCCGAAGACTAATATTCGCGGTGCCATTTTGTTTTCTAGCGAGTCTCATTGATTCAATGATCAATGTGATATCTGTATCCTTGTGTGAAATAGTATACGAGGTGACACAGATTGCAACCACTATGCTGAGCCCTCCGAAGTCGTGAGCATCGGACTATAACCCGAACTCGCACCCCGCGCCCCACAATACCTGCACAGTCAGACTCACTGATATGATGGTGGGCAGTAACGGCTTTGAATCTTTGGTAATAGTTTTATGAACTGGATTGATAATATTGACTATTATCTACGGTTCTAAATCACATATGGAAAACCATACATCATGTTTCATGACATATTTACAATGCAAAAATGACACCTTAAGGTAAAGGTGTACGGTCTTGCTGATACATTCCTCCACCTATCGTTGCAACACTGCTCGAGACTCTACGGTTCTTGATAAACCTTCAACCCAATTTGAAACAAGCGATGATGGAAGACCATTATGAACTAAAATCAAAAAAAGAATTATCTAAGTTGAACTTGGTAAGATGACAATGCCCGGGCTCGAACCGGGGGCCTCTTGTGAGCACTAGGCGATTAACCATGTGAGACAAGCGTGATAACCACTACACTACACTGTCGCGGTTTGCGCTGATTTGTTGGAAAGAGACTCGTTATGCTAGTATATATTAGTAATACAAGGGTAGGTCTCCACGTGCGGGTCGTTGTCGAGTTGGGCCCTGGACGGCCTGTTGCGTACGAAGTACGTAGCACTGTGATGTAATGGGAGAAAGCTGCAATGAAGCTTACGACAATAAAAGCGTCGGTCATCTTCTCCTATAGATATCATATTCTCCCTTGGGTTGTCCCAATCTTCTCTGTCAGTATCACACATGTATCATACAAATATTTTTATTCTTGCATGATTTGATCGTCAATTCCTTTACGACCGATTGAGCCCGAATGACTCCGTTTTGTCGGAAATAGTCGTGGGAGTCGTATCTCCGAATCCCTACATGTTTGAGGCCTCTGGGGCGGCCTGGATCCGCAAGTGATAATGGAATCGAGTGGAATAGACAATCAACTGCCATGATATTCTTCATCTTCTTCCTCCAACGACTCAGATATGTACTGCGCCTCTATCTAGTGATAATAAGTTTTTCTGGCTCAAAAAAATCGATCTTGCTAGCCCTACGAATGTCAAAGTGCAATTGGAAAGTTCAGAGATAACGCCACAGCCAGAGCCTTCAGCCACAGTTAGTCCCCATACTTACTGCAGGAGGCCTGGGGTCTAGCGAGTTGGCCAGCTTTTAGCTCCCGTCCAAGCTTTGGGAGTTTGATGCTCGTAGCGGCACTTTGACATCATCGGTGCTTGTTGTCAGTGCGTTGGAGGCCCTGGGCCTGGGAACTGGCTGCTGGCAGGCTGGGACCCGACCTCGATTGTGTTGATCATCCCCAAAACCTGGAAAATTCACAGGTCTGGAAATGATGCGCTATAATTGCCGACAGGCTCTCGTCGTCATTCAGTCACAGGTCACTCTCTTTTGAGACAATATCCATAAAGACCCCCTATCTATTGCCAAGGAGCTCTAGATTTGTTCTCTGCAATTGCTCCTTCATTCCCCCATAGAGGCCAAGAGCGACCCGCCTGCCAGCATTCTCTGAAACCCAGTGTATCAGTCGCTGCTGTCCAATCAATCAACCACCGTTTGTGGTCAAACACCAGCCAAAACCCAAGAGGTCGCGAGAAGTTCGCTTTCATTTTCGAACCTCTTTTCTTCTTCAATCTTCAAAGACCACGCAAATCCTAGATCAATATTCAAGATGGCGAGCTTTATCGCAAAGAAGATTAGCACCAAGATCCTCGGCGAGACGATGGAGAACAAATGGGGTGTTCAGGTGAGTCTGCGTTCCTCTTCTGCTCTTGTCGTACTACGATAACTGACGTAGTCTTGATTGTAGGACCCCATGTTCGAACATGTCCCAGCGACGAGGCTCGACGGCAAGCCCAGCAAGAAGATGAAGAAGGTCAAGAGAGCCATTCCGCCGGGCATCTCTGAGCATGATGCACAGATTCTCAACAAGGTCAAGCGCAGGGCCTACAAGCTAGATTTGAGCTTGTTCAGTATTGCGGGTGTGCGCTTTGGCTGGAGCAGTGTCATTGGCATCGTTCCCTTGTAAGTTACCCATCATTTCAAAAACAAATGCTTGCAGCATATAAACTAATCAAATGGAAACAGTGCTGGAGATCTGATTGATTTCTTCATGGCTGCCATGGTCATCAATACCTGCAAGAAAGTCGATGGTGGCCTACCGTCGAGCCTCACCACAAAGATGTGGTTCTGGGCTCTGATCGATTTGGTCATCGGCTTCATTCCTTTCCTAGGCGATGTCTTCGACGCTGTGATCAAGGCCAACGCGCGCAACGCCATCTACTTGGAAGAACACTTGCGCAAGAAGGGCCAGCAGAATCTACGTAAGAGTGGCCTGCCTGTCCCCGACGTCGACCCCAGTGATCCCTACGTTTTCGACCACCTGGACAATGAGCCATCTGGCCGACGAAACGGCCACCGCTCCCAGGAGTCTGGTGTTGCCGCTACCCCAGACCTACCCACGCGACCCAACGACGCTCGAGTGCGCAATGATCGTCAATCCGGTGGATCGTGGTTTGACTTTGGTGGTAACAGGAGCCGACGCAATGATGTAGAGACGGGCATTGCCGACCAGCCGCCAACTCGGGGCTCATCGCGCCGCAACTAATGACATGGCTTTGGTCGACCTGTTTTGAAAGGTCATATACGACTCTGCGACTGTACTATACGCGCACACTGGCTAGTCATTTTGCACAGCGTTCGACCGCGTGCACCATGATTGGCCCAACTCAGCTACGATGGCTCGAAAGAGTGCTTTGATTCGCTTCGCAAACCTCATAATGTGTTACGAGAAAAAGAAAATGTTTGGTGTTAATGGTTACGACGGAGGGACACAGATTTGATACCACTAGAGCATAATTACAGCTTATGCTCCTATACTCTTGATGCCAACTTGGAGTTTAGACTATATCCTCAGATTAATATTACTTCCTTGAACTGTCTACTGATTTGGAAATTTTTGCCGCTGCGTAGAATCACTTGTGAAAGAATCAATGCACCCGACGCGATGTGCATACTTTGCTGTGTTGTGGGCCATGCGCACTGTACATTGCATAGCACCCTAGAGCCATGCATACATACCACACTATACCCCGTACTCAATATGCATGCACTATCTACACCTGCATCCGAAACATCATTCGAAGTTCTTTGTAAGAATTAAGTTGTCACAGTACGAAAACCAATGCGCTTCTCTCGAGTACGCCGAATTTACCTAAGATCAATGGCAACCGAGTTCTAGACATCATTATGACTCCTTCCATTAAGTGCAAAACGCGTCTTCCATGACTTGAGGCGCGTCTTGGAGCTTGCTAGTTTCAAGCTATTTAAGATCAGATAACTGTGTTCTCCACAATACCATCATCATCAATAAGCAATTCCGACTGCTTCGTAAGTTCTAAGTTTGCGAGCCGAGCAACTTTTTGTGGTTCTACATCCGTAAGTCCGAAAACCGGGCAAACGTGCAAACCTGGTCTTGTACATGGTATGGAGAAGAGAGAATGGGGAATCTGTTTATCTGATCCAATTCTGCCTGATCATCTCGTTGATGCGCGTCGAAAGGACATGTTGTTGGTCAATGGCAGGTATTGATCTGACCCCTGCGCTGACTCTTTTTTTACGTACCTGAGCACACGCCAAGCCAAGCGCTGTGCCTCAGCCCACTGTCCCAAGATACCCAGGACCGAGCGCGTTTACATGTGGTTAATTGGTATTGTTTGCCCCGCGATATACTAGTATACATACACAGTACCTGTGTGATTCCAGTCGTCACTTTGCTTTCCAGTTGCAGGAGTATAGTGCTCTGATTGCAGTCAATTCAAAGGTGACCATTTTAAGTTGCATAATTCTGGAAACTTATCAAAGCTGTCTTGAGCCTCCAAGAGCTCCCAAGCTTGCTTGTTTGTTTGGAAGCATGCAACATGCAGCATGCAGTGTAGCTGGTAGCCTCGCAGGAGACTCCGGAGCTTGAAAACAAGGTCATGTACACATCAAGGTTACAAAAGAGGCGATCCTATGACAGAAGCAGCCAAGTTCAGTGGAGAGGGAACCATTTCAATGTCTCGGTCCCAGCTCATTCATTGACATGGCTTCCCTCGGAACGGATCCAATCCCCTGGACGACGCGTGAAATTGACACGCGAAATCGGTGCTCTGGGTGGCTGGTGGGGTCAAATCGCTTTTTTAGTCTGACCCAGAGATTGACAGGGAGGCGCGTCTTTGTGATTTTCGCGCGTCGGGCCAAAGATACTTAAAAAGCGACCCGTCGACACACTAAATAGCAAAGATTCATTCTTGTCCATATCAACTCAAACCACCACCTCTTCTTCAATTCACAACCACTATAGACGCGTCTTTCTTCTTGTATTCGAACCGTCCTTTCAATACTCTCCTATTCACACATACACACACAAAGCCAGTCAGACGCAATGGCAACCGAGATCACTCCCTCCAAGAAGGTACGTTCATGACGTCGTTGCCTGCTGGGCACGCCAAACGCCACCAAAATATCTGCACAAAGAGAACAAAACCATGGCTAACACAATATCTTGTTCACAGGCTGCCTCTGCCTTCGAGTCCTTGAAGATGGAATCTCCTGTTAAGAAGCTCGACTTCTCGGGCAAGGAGAACGCGCCTTTCGATGCCGATGCTCCAGTTGAGACTGAGACACAAAAGCCTGCCATGGAGACCAAGCAAGTTGCCAAGGGCGGCGTTGCCCCTACAATCAAGGCTGAGGAGGCCGATGAGCCTCTTCTGCAAGAGAACCCCAACAGATTCGTCCTCTTCCCCATCAAGTACCATGAGGTAAGTTATGTGACGCGTCTGACGCGTAAAGTGGTTTATCCAAGACGCGACCAAGGCTAACAATGAATTTTCACTTTTAGATCTGGCAAATGTACAAGAAGGCCGAGGCTTCTTTCTGGACCGCCGAGGAGATCGATCTGTCCAAGGACCTTCACGACTGGAACAACAAGATCACCGAGGATGAGCAATACTTCATCTCCCACATTCTGGCTTTCTTCGCTGCCTCTGACGGTATCGTCAACGAGAACCTGGTCGAGCGTTTCAGTGGAGAGGTTCAGATTCCCGAGGCACGATGCTTCTACGGTTTCCAGATCATGATGGAGAACATTCACTCCGAGACCTACTCGCTGCTCATTGATACCTACATCAAGGAGCCCAGCCAGAGAACTTACCTGTTCAACGCCATTGATACCAGTAAGTTGCCATTGACATCACCACTTGAATACACCAAAGCTAATCGTGATCTAGTTCCCTGCATCCGCAGAAAGGCCGACTGGGCTCTTCGATGGATCACTGATGAGAAGTCTACCTTTGCTCAGCGTCTCATTGCCTTTGCTGCCGTCGAGGGTATCTTCTTCAGCGGTGCTTTTGCCTCCATCTTCTGGTTGAAGAAGCGTGGTCTGATGCCTGGTCTCACCTTCTCCAACGAGCTCATCTCTCGTGACGAGGGTCTGCACACTGACTTTG